CCCCCCCCCCCCCCCCTCGCGCCCCTGCAAAGTCAGCCCCGATGGCGCACATGCTGCTGCTGCTGTGTCGCAGAATTCACCACAGAGCAAAAACACACGTCTGTTACCAAAAACCACGGACCACGAGACGCGTCGTACATACAGGCAACGGCCGCTCGTGCCTCCCTTGCAGTTTTTAAAAAAACGCGGTTCGCATACGAGAGCGCTGGTTCGGAGACCCACAGAAAGACCAAAAGGCGGGGGGCGCCGCGGATTGTTTTTGGAACCTACCTCCTTCTCCTTCTGCATCGCGCGCAGGGCCGCCTCACCGGCTCGCTGGAACCTCGCCATCTCCTGACGCTTCGCCTCCTCCTCCTGAAACAACGAAAAACACAACCGCAAAAACGGCCAAACTGAGCTCCGGTATTGATGCTGTTCTGTCAAAACGGTGGAAAGAAGCTCCGGTATCGATGCGTTTCTGTCAAAACCGTGGAAACTGAGCTCCGGTGTTGATGCTCTTCTGTCAAAAACGGTGGGAACGAGCTCCGGTACTGAAGTGCTTCTTTCTGGGGGACGGTGGCATCGGAAACGGGGAATGCAGCGTGCAACTTGTGGCCGCAGGCGTCAGGGTCATGACGGGAACGCCTGCACCCACCGTAAGAGTTACTGGGCAACATACGGGCGATACGGCCGGCAGTTTCGTCATCGTGCCGATGATAATGCCTCCCGCATCCTCGCGCTTGTAGCAATCGTTCCCGCCGATAAAAGTGATCTCCCCCCACCACGCGAGCACATGGAAAACACTTTTGACCCACCTTTGGCAACGTAGGGAGGAACGGTTCGCCATCGGTGATTGGTCCTGTAGGAACAACACTCCGTCCTCTCCACTCAGGACTACTATTTGCCCAACCAGGGTACCATACACGCTACCACACACAAGGAAAGCACGAAAAGGAGCTAGAAAAATCAACACAATCGCCGTTGTACACAATCGAACACAAACAAACTCTACGAAGAACGCTTCAAGCACGAAACCAGCATTTTCGACCAGGCTACCCGGAGGGCCATCCCACCAATAAAGACAACCATATACCTGTAAGTTATGTACTACACAAAGCGCCCGCACGTTCAAGAAGTTGGCAGTTGAGAACTTGGCAGTGAAGAAAATGGCAGTTTAGAGCTTGGGAGTTAAGAGGTTGGCATTTAAGAGCTTGGAAGATGAGAACTTGGCAGTTATGTGAAGAACTTGGCAGTGAAGAACTTGGCAACAAAGAAGTTGGCACTTGAGAACCCGGCAGTTATATGAAGAACTTCGCAGGAAAGAACTTGGCAGTTATGTAAGAACTTGGCAGTTATGTAAGAACTTGGTAGTTGAGAACTTGGCAGTGAAGAACTTGGCAAGTAAGAGCTTGATTGCTCAGAGCATCATATCAAACACAAGAACTTAAACACCGTTTGCGGGAGGCCGGTGAAGAACCCCTACACTACATGGCGGCCTCTTGTGGCCCACAAGAGGGACTATAAATAGGGTAAGGAACACCAGCCTCGCCCAAAATGTGCTCCTGGTTGGCAGACACGTGCTCAGCCAATGCCAACGACAAGAGGTTCTTGAGATTGAGTAGTCTACGCAGATAACCAATTATACTATGTGTGCGTTAGGGTTATCGTCTGCGTGCCCCCTGCCTGGTTTTTCTTCGCAAAAGAAACTGACAGACACTGTTTTGCGTAGGCAATCAGTCCTGCAGGATTACCGACCTGGGCGATCCGCTTGTGGGTCTCCTCAAACTCCCGCAGCAGCTCGGCCTCCTCGCCCTTAACCAACTCTAGCCTCTCCGCAACGGTCGTGGGAACGGGCGGCGGGGAGGTGACGCCAAGCCCGGCGTCCCCGTCGGAAACCATCATCATCGCCTCTTCTTCTTCCTCCTCCTCCTCCTCCTCCTCCTCCTTCTCCTCCTCCTCGTCGTCGTCGTCGTCGTACTCGCAGGCGGCGGCGGCGGGAGACGCGGCGAAGGAGTCTCGCCGCATCGCCTGCCAGGCAGCAGCAGCAGCAGCAGCAGCAGCAGCAGCGTGTGGTGTGTGCTTTTTGGGATTTCCGTCATCATGCCACAGAGTGGAGGTAGAACAACAGGAAGAGAGTCAACCATGTCGTGTACAATTATCATTATTGTGCGCAAGTACGCTATCTGCTCTTGCTACCACCGACCCTCCGTGTCATCTGTGCCCCCTGGCCACCATGGGGCTTCAGTCGGGCTAAAAATCTGAAAGGATACGTAGTGCACAATTCGTACCATCGACGTCGACGTACATGACAAATGCTCTACAGATCTCGAAAGAGGCCACGTAGCGGCCGCTGTAGCGTGACTATGGTGTAATGATTCCCGCCCACCAACGACGCTGAACATGCCACCCCCCCCTAACGTAGCACTCCGTTCCCTTTCGCCAGAAATAGACGAATCGAACGCACGAGTGTCCCCAGATAAACAAGCAGTAACAGCAGCAGCAGCAGCAGCAGCAGCAGCAACAACAACCCTTACCTTCGGGGAAAGTGTAACCGCCGCAGGGTTCGCCGGGGTGCCCGCCTTGCCGCGTCGCTTGTGTGGCCGCTCGCACACCTCTGAAGAATCGGTTTCGATCTGAGTCAGGACATCAGTCAAGCGGGGTGGGGTCGGGGGTCGTGCTACATTACGACGCCGCACACGACAACAACAGCAACACCAGAATCACCCTCGCAACGACATCTACGACACAACGTCGGGGGCGGTCCACGTTACGACGCGGTACTGAACAACAACAACAGCAGCATCAGCATCAGCAGCAGCAGCAGCAGCAGCAGCAGCAGCAGCGCACTCAAGTCAAATGTCAGCAACAACACCACCGGCAGCAGGAGAACCACCCCGGGGTCGGGTAGGCGGGCGGTCCACATTGCGAGGCAGAACAAAACGAGAGTGAAAAATTAAGAGAGCCAAAAAAGCAAGAGCGACAACATCTACGACAAAATGTATGAAGCCGAACAATAACAACAGCAGCCGCAGAAGCATCCCCTCACCTCCATCTCGTGGATGTCGCCAAGCTTTTCCGGGGCACTCCTCCTCCGCCCCCTACCGCCTATAGACACGCTGCTGCCTCCTCTGCCTCGTCGCGCGGCCGCCCCCCGCTTACCCTTGAGAGGACCCGCAGACTTGCCACCCTGACAAGAAGGGGGGTGGGTGGGCAGAGAAGAGTTGAAGACAGGAAGGGTGAAGACATGAAAGGTTGGAGGCAGGGAAGAGATGAATACAGGGGAAAGTTGGAAACAGGGAGGTGGCATGTCAGAAGGTGACGTCGGCGACCAAACGTTAGGGCGCGAGTTTCGAGACCCTGAACCACGGGCCACGAGCATACAATCGCTGGGCGTGCAACTGTTAACGGTTGGCAACGGGGGTGCATGCCTCCCTTCCCGGACGAAAGCCGGGGGGGGGGGGGGGG